GTTGCCGGCTCATGTCCCATTTTTCACCCACCAGTGCCCCCAAGCCCTTCCCCACCAGGCTGTTCTCAATCCGTCCGTCCCCCAGCCTGTGCTGCTACCGGGGATCGCCCCGACCTCTGAACTCGCCTTGTTGAACTTGATGAGGTTCCTGACAGGGCTCTGGGGGTACAGGCGTTCTACAGATGCTTCGTATTTCTCCTGATCCATAATCTCTGCTCCCTAAAACCTGTCTAAGGACAGCAGAGAGGTGGGATTTGTCTTGAGGGTGCCCGGTTAGCTCCGTTGGGCTGAAATGCTTCCGTGCCGCTGTATTTGGAGTGAAAGTACTGCTCCTGCTGATCTACGTGGTCCTGTGTCGCTGTCGCCACGGATCAAAGGGGTGCCCGTGTCCCTGGGGACCCCTCGGTGGGGAAGGGATGCCCCAGAGCTGGCAAAGCCAAGCTGCCGCGCTGCGTGAGTGATATGAGAAGCGAGACAGCGTGACCGAAGGGTGGGAAACTGCCAAGAGGACGTGGCTAGGGATTTTGAGATGTCAAGCAAGCCAACTCGCTGCAAACACGATTATCCTTCTCCAACGAGTTGTTATTGCAGCCGCAGCTGTAGATAACTGAATGTAAGAGGTCGTTGTGTAGATGCGAAGACGCTCTGACGCAAAGAAACTGAAATTAATTGGCTTGTGATGTCCTTGTGTCCATGAGCTGGAGATTCTGAACAGTAGAATCATCGAATCATGAAGGTTGGAAGAGACCTCTGAGATCATCGAGTCCAACCGTCGACCCAACACCCTCATGCCCACTAAACCATGTCCCTCAGCACCTCATCTACACGTCTTTTAAATACCTCCAGGGATGGGGACTCAACCCCTTCCCTGGGCAGCCTGTTCCAATGTTTCACCACTCTTTCAGTAAAGACCTCACGTCCAACCTAAACCTCCCCTGGTGCAACTTGAGGCCGTTTCCTCTCGTCCTGTCGCTTGTTACTTGGGAGAAGAGACCGACGCCCCCCTCGCTACAACCTCCTGTCAGGTAGTTGTAGAGAGCGATGAGGTCTCCCCTCAGCCTCCTTTTCTCCAGGCTGAACAACCCCAGCTCCCTCAGCCGCTCCTCATCACGCTTGTTCTCCACAGACAGGGCGTGGGCCAAGACAGCTTTGAGGGAAGGGGCTCTTAGCAGACTGTGAGATGAGTTCTGTACACGTAAATGGGTGAAAAAGGCGAGGGATCAGCCAGGGGCGCAGTCTGGTTCCCCTTGTGACTTTCTGAATAACCCGGGGCGAGTCACGAGCTCTGCTCGCTTTCTCGGCTGCATCCTGGACTGTGGTTTTTCAGATTTTAGCAGAGCAGCCTGGCAGCGCTCGGGTCGTTCTTGCGCCTGAGGTGCTGAGCCGTTGCCTGAGCAGGACTTTAGGAATTTGCCGTGCCGGTGGAAGTGCTGGAGTTTGGACAGGCCAGAGAGTTAAAGCCTTTGTTTGCCCAAACCCGCGTCGTCCCTCCTGGCTGAAAGTCAACGTCTCACGGCACTGCTGTCGTGGTTTAACCTCAGTCGGCAACTGAGCCCCCCGCAGCCGCTCGCTCACTCCCCCCCACCCGGTGGGATGGGGGAGAGAATTGGAAAAGCACAAGTGAGAAAAACTCGTGGGTTGAGATAAAAACAGTTTAATAGTTGAAATAAAATGATAATAATAATAATAATACACAAAGCAAGTGATGCGCAGTACAATTGCTCACCACCCGCCGACCGATGCCCAGCCAGTCCCCGAGCAGCGGCCCCCCCCCGCCAGCTTCCCCCCGTTTATGTACTGAGCATGACGTCCCATGGTATGGAATGTCCCTTTGGCCAGTTTGGCTGTGCCCACTCCCAGCCTCTTGAACCCCTCCAGCCTTCTCAGTCGGTAGAGCATGGGAAACTAAAAAGTCCTTGGCCAGTGTAAGCACTGCTCAGCAACAACTAAAACATCGGTGCCTTATCAACTTTGTTCTCATCCTAAATCCAAACCACAGCACTGTACCAGCTACTAGGAAGGAAATTACCTCTATCCCTGCCGAAACCAGGACAACTGCCTCGCTTACCTCCTGCACGGTCGCTCTGAGAAACAACTCCTTGTTCCTGAAATAATTTTGTGACGTCGGGACGTTCTGCCAAGCGGGCGCTGTGCTCTGTACCGGGGCGGCTGGCGCAGCGGTGCTTTCTGAAGGGCCCGTCAGAACCGACGTTGTGCTAAGGATCGGGTTTGGTTTTGTACAAATCAGGAGAGCTTTCGGACTGGAATTGCCTTTTAGTGCTGCACAGCAGCAGCAGAGCACGGCTGGGGAAGCTCGGGCTGGAAATAAAGAGGTGCCGGGCATTCACTGACGGACGCTGGAGGAGACGGAAGACCGAGTGCTGGTGGAAAACCACGAGCTCCGCCTCGCGTCGGGGCTGCCGGCGGGAAAGC